CACATTTCTGTTTAATGGAGGGAAGATTTTTTTCAACTCATTTCTAAACATAATTGTTTTAAAAACTCATTCTTAACAACTGATTTATTTCATCTTTGTCATGATGACAGTAAATAATATTTGAGATACTTTTCAAGACACTTCTATACAGCTTCAAGTGACATTTGAAGGCTTAACTAGGTTAATTAGGGTAACTAGGCAGTTTAATGTAATTGAGCAAGTTATTGTATAACGATGGTTTGTTCTGTAGACCATAATTTTATTTTAATTTTTTTGCTTAAAAATTGCTTAAATGGGCAAATAATACTGACCTTAAAGTGGTTTTAAAAATTAAAAACTGCTTTTATTCTAGCCAAAACAAATAAGACTTAATAATAAGTAGTATTTATACTATACTCAATAAATAATAAAACTGCAGAAAAAACTATGATCAGACACACAGTGAAAATTTCATTGCTCTCTTTAATAATAATTTTGGAAATATTTAATAGTGAAAATTAAAAGGTTTCCCAGAGATGAGTTGCAGCTGGAAGGGCATCTGCTGTGTAAAACATATGCTTGATAAGTTGGTGGTTCATTCTGCTGTGGTGACCCCAGATTAATAATGGGACTAAACCGAAAAGAAAATGAATGAATGAACGAATTAAAAGGGGGGCTAATAATTCTGACTTCAACTGTATACTTATATATAGGCCTATATATAAAACTGTGTGTGTGTGTGTCTGTATAACGTGAATGTGTGAGCACTTAAAGGCGAATTAGCCAGTCAGTCTAGCGCAGTCCTGCACTAGTTGTTAAAGTTATTGTGTTTTAAAAAGTACCCGCGTTTTGAAAATGTTGTTTCGCGTTCCAAATGGAACTACATAACTCTGACATCATCAGTGGTGAATTAAAGCTGACTGAATCAAGCAGAAACCCTCATTGCTTCTTTGGATGACAAGTAGTTCAGTACTTACTGCAATTCCACAAAACGGTGATAAAATGGCCTTTTCAAAGTTGATTTCCCGTTTAAAGAAAGCGTTTGGTATCAAGTGTGCACATGAACCACCCCGTGAGCCACTCAAATCCAACGGCAACACGGCAGAACACCACCATCATCCGATAACCGATGACCCGCCCGTCGTTGCAAGAAAACAGGCAGGGAGACAGAATAAGTCTTCCTTCTTTCTAGCCTGTTTCTCCAGAAGAGCAACTGTTGATGGTAAATTAGGTTTATGAATTTCAATTACTAAAACACACTGTTAAACACACCAAACATGTCAGAGTAGCTGTTTAAAGATAAGAAATAAAATTAACTGGAAACATTTGAGAATTTTTAGGTAGTTTCTTAAAGGGACAGTTCACATAAACGTGAAAATTCTGTCATAATTTACTCCTCAAACCTGTTTGAGATGCGTTCTTGTGTTGGACACATACTGAAATCAGCCATTCACTTCCAGTATTTTGAGTTCCTACAATGAAGGTTAATGGCTGCTGATTTCAGGAATATTCTTCAGAATAGGCCTATTTTTGTGTTTAACAAATGAAATTCATAATTAATTGTATTTATGCCTTTAGATATATAGTTTAAACATAATTTTTTATTGCTAATTATCACTTCAATGCACAAAAACCATGAAGATCATGAATAAATATTAAATACATTGAGTAATGTTTTTGCAAATGAACTTTTCAAATATCTAGTCAAAAGAGTTACAGAATCATATTAATGATATTCCTTCCCCTCTTTAGATCCGCTCCCTGTGCTGGAGATCCACGACCTTCAGGACGAGCCGATCAGTAGCTCGAAATTCTTTCACACTGCTGTGAACAATCTGGAGCTGGAGGTTCTCCAACCTTCAATTCCTGATGCTTCAGCAGAAGAAGATTTTGACACTGTGAAATCTGAAGTGAACAGCTTTAAACCTCCAGTGAGCCAGCAGTTCTCATCAGATGGCATCTTTGAATTGTTCAGCGGAGACTCTGTGCAGGTTGACATTGACTCTGCACTGGATGAAGACTCGGAGCCTTCACTGAATCAGAAGGTTTCACAAGATGACTCCGCTGATGATTCTGCACTGAGTCTTACAGCAGATGATGAGACCTGTTTGGACAATAGTAAGTTTATTGCTGGAATTCATAACATTTGTTTAGGCATATCAAACATTTTAAAATTATACAGTTAAAGTCAAAATTATTCGCCGTCCATGATTTATTATTATTTTTTTTCATTTTCAAAAATTTCCCAAATGATGTTTAACAGAGTAAAGAAGTTTTCACTTCCTTCATTTCCTATAATCTTTTTTCTTATGGAGAAAGTCTTATTTGTTGTAAACTCTGTGGTTTATAATTTAATAAGATTTTATGTCCAGTCAGCTTAATTTTCTTCTTTTTTAAAAGATGACATCAGCTCCCGCTACAATCTGGGAAAGCAGCTCGGTGAAGGAGGTTTCGGGTCTGTTTTTGAGGGGATCCGCATACAGGATGATCTGCAGGTATTCATTTTTGTGGACTCAAATCCTTTGATGAAGTTCACTATTTAAAGAACATCATCAGAAACATGCTTTCATTGTTTTGACATTTCTGAGAATTCAAATTGATGAAACCTCTGTTCAGGATTTGAATGAAATGATCTCGATGCACATGTTAATTGTTCACTTATTTCTTTCAACAGGTGGCTGTTAAATTTGCCCAGATGACACCACGTATGCAAGATCTCTGCTCTGTAAGTACACTACACTTTCTGTTTTTCTCTTCTCAGTCACTGTGTTCAACTCATAATGTCTTATATTTAATAGAGGACAACAGGCTGTGGTTAAAAACCCTTGTTTGAAAACCAACATTATTATTTTGTTTTCAGTCTCATGACCATCCACCTCTAGAGATCACCTTGGCAAGTATGGCCAGCAGTGGCTCCAGGTGTGCCAATATAATTCAGCTCCTAGACTGGCAGGTCTTCAAAGACCATTATGTCATGGTCATGGAGCGGCCTACGCCAAGTATGGATCTGGAGGCATTCCTGCAACTCAACGGAGGCGTCCTCAGCGAGCAAACGGCACAAACTATCATGGGCCAAGCTGTTTATGCTGCCAATGTTTGCTGCTACCGAGGAGTATTCCACAGGGACATTAAGGTGCAAAACCTGCTTGTGAACCCAAACACTCTGGAGGTCAAGCTGATCGACTTCGGCTGCGGAGATTACATGATGGAATCAGGATATTCCACCTTTTCTGGTTGGTGTTGTGAATAGGGTTGTTAAATGTTTCAACTTTGGGACTGACATTTTAAAAACGTCCATTTGAACCTGTTAAACATTACTGATTGGCCATTGGTGTTCACATGCTCAGCAAATATGACTGTGATGAGTGTCAGTATCGATACTTTTGACAACACTAGTTATGAATGTACATAAGCATTATTAATTTACGGTTTAAAAGGTCAGTAATTAGCACACCTGAAACCCATCTGGTATATATATCAACATGATGTTGACACAGATTTAACTAAATGTCTCTCCTCCAGGCACTGAAGCGTACATGCCACCAGAGTTTTACCAAAGAGGATGTTACCATGCCAAACCAGCAACTGTCTATTCTCTTGGGGTTCTTCTCTTCACAATGCTGCATGGAGATTTCCCAACGACGTATGACCTGTACTACCTGGAGCACGACTGGTCCAAATTTACCCTCTCTCAAGGTGAGATGATCATCAAAGAACAAGTTAAAAGTCAGTTTAATAATAATAATAATAATCTCACCTCTCCTTTTGTTTTTCAAAGAATGCTGTGATCTGATGTGGGCTTGTCTGCAGCAGATTCCAGAGCACAGAATTCTTCTAGGACAGATGCCTTACCATGACTGGTTCATGCTGGAGTAGCCCGTTGACACCTTTGCTGTTTAAATATAGTGTCTTGTTATTGTATTATTCACTTCTTTATTTTTACAGTTGTTTTTGTGTATGTCTGTAATAAAAATATATATTTTTGAACTCACTTGTGATGTATTGCGATCCAGTCCCAGTGACAAAAATCTGGCATGAGGTTTGAACAGCATCCAGTCATTTATAACACACACTGCAGTTGCCACTGGCGTCATTAGGGCGCACTTTTAGAAATACACTTTTGAAGAATACAGTCCAGCGCTGCCCTTTACCTGACCCAAAGTCTAAACATATCAGTCACTGCGACATCAGCAAATCATCCATATAAAATTCCAATGTTTTACTGTGAAATCAGAACTGTTTTTAGAAATGTTTTAAAATACAAACATCGTAACACGAGCATTTTCACAATAAGAGCACCCAGTTTTATTAGGGTCATTAAGTGTTCATTCCCCTCATGACAATTGTGCTTCCCAAACAAAATATTTAGTGGTATTTCTTCAAAGTCAATACTGATAGTGTAGTTTGTGCAGACACACTGAGGTTTATCCAGTGTACAGAAGTCTGAATCATCCTCATTATTTTACACGCTTTTAAAAACATGTTTACTACACGAATGTCCAGCGTTTGCTAAACAAATAGACTGCTCAACCCTTTACGTTATTAATTTCTTACAACATCTCCAACTATGCTAAAAGCAACAAGTTCTATAGGACGATGTTGTAAGAAAGTAATAATGTAAAGAGTTGAACAATCAATTTATAGTAATGTGTTTTGGGAAACGTGTTTTTGGAAGCATATGAAATAATGTTGATGATTCAGACTTCTATACACTGGATAAACCTCAGTGTGTCTGCACAAACTATTATATCAATATCCAAAACCATGTTTACTACAAACAGACTGTTTAACCCTTTACATTACTACTTTCTTACAACCAGGGGCATAGTGGACATTTTAAAAGTGGGGTTGGGGTGGGGGGGATTACAACTGTATATATGTAATGGGGCGATCCCCAAAGGGGAGGGGTTTCGCACTCGTATGCGTGTAGTGGGGGATCCCCAAGGGGGAGGGGTTTCCTCACTATGTTTAGGTGAATGAAGTTAGAAATTAAGCTCGCCACCCCTTTAAAAGTATGGAGGTTTTGCTTCCGTTATCTCCCTGGCATGGAATAGTGGCAGTGTGTTGAGTGCGTGCAAACTTTTGATGTGCGTTAAGCATTGAGCGTTGAGCAGTAAGCCTGCAGTGTTTAGAAAAACCTGTAATTCTGTTTCTTTGGCCTGCGGAAGTGCAATCGCATCAGCAAGTAACGGTATGTCTCTGTTTATGTCTTTGGCTATTTCTGGCAAGTTTTAGAGCTGTTAATTAATAATAAATAATTCTTTTAGCTACATCCATGTATGATTGGTGGATTGCTCACCATTTGCGTTAAGAGCCAGTTGACTGGGCTGCGGGTAAGTTTCTATTTGAGAGTCTGTAAATGTTTTATCTAGAAATATGATTTTAAAACGTTAACATGCGAATGAATATTGACTGGTTGTTTTATAGAGAGCCCGTTGCTGTTTTGCTGCTGTCTGGCGACCCGTTTGTGCTACGGAGGGGCGACTTCACTTTCCTTCTCGGCACCTGATTGTGTGTGACTCGGTTGCGTCAAGGCAGTGTGTGTGTGTGTAGGATTGTGTGTGTGTGTGGGTGTGAGCGCGCCCTTATTGTGCGAGGGTGCGCTAAATTCTTTCGACGTTGGCGCGGTTGTGAGTGTGCGTGTATGTGTGCAGTGTTGTGATTTAACTATTTGGTGGGTTTGTATTTTGTTTGTGTAAATTGCTAAGGGCTGTTATTGTTCGACTTGCATTTCAATACTAACAGCAAGGATTACCTTGTATGGGGAGGGTTGTGTTATTTTGGCTTTGTTTGTTATGCGGGTGGTTTATTTTGAGTGTGGGTTAGTTTCTCTTTATTAATGAGTGTTTTGTTTTGAAGGTTTCGTTGCACTGGAGTGTGGTATTTTCCTCTTTTTCCTTTTGATCTTTCCCAATGGTATATCCTGTGTAATATTGAGTGTGAGAGCAGTGGCCACTGACAACCATTATACAAACCATTGTATTGTTTTGTGACTAATTGTAATTGACTATCTGTTTTATATGATTACATTTTAAAGAAAAACTCTATTTAAGTGTCTAATAAAAGATTGTTTGTACACATCTCTGCTTTATTTCCATTTGTTTGGAGAAAACCTGAAGTTGTGGGTAGTAAAGTGAACCTCTATTTGGTTATATTCAGTACAGTACGGGCCCCGGTCACATATATATATACGTTTCAATTTTTAATCACCTGTTTCTAAATGGTCGGTATCTAAATGTGAGGGGGGTGTATCCCCCCTGTCCCCCCCAGTTACTACGCCCCTGCTTACAACATCTCCAACTATGTTAAAAGCAACAGGTTCTATAGGAAGGAGAAAATTTATTTTGATGGTTTATTTGAGTTTTCTCATTAGATTATAAGTAGACTGTTAGGTTTGGGTTAGGGTTAGTGTAAATTGACATGTACTTGCAAAATTTCTTGTAGTCAGTTAAATGTCTGTTGAAGGAGCTTACAAGCTGACTATATTTTCAACAGATATTAAGCAGACAGTCTACTAATACTCAAATGGACCATCAAAATATAGTGTTACCCAATTCCTTAATAATAGATAATTAACAATTCCTAGAAGAAAGAATATCAGCTTCATTTTTATCTCTAATTGTCCAAATTTTCTGTAAGGCTGGTGGTGAACTTCATTCAACCTTCTACCAAACTGAGGTACAAAGTAAATCTAATCTTGGGTTAGATGTTTGTCAGATTGATCAAATTTAAAACAGCATTTAAAACAGCAGCTAGTGAGATGTGCTCAACCATCACTGCTTCATGTTTTGGTTTTCACAGACACATTAATCTCTATTATGATTTGGAGTTGTAAAATGGATGAAGTGTGGTCATATTTGTGATTTGATTTACCTGGATTGATCATCTGGTTCCTCTGAAACACTGGCTGTAGATGGGGAAGAGCTCCGGACTGCAGGTTTGATGTTGGATTTTGGTAAAGGAGGAGCTGATTTTGCTCCGCTGACACCTCTTAAGGCTGTTAGAGAAAAACAGACATTTTAACATTTCTATTTATTTTTTAGTTACAAACTCATTATTAAAAACAATAGCCACTGATTTATTCATTTGTTCATTTTCTTTTCGGCTTAGTCCCTTTATTAATCAGAGGTTGTCACAGCAGAATGAACCGCCAATTGATCCAGCATATGTTTTACACAGCGGATGCTCTTCTAGCTGCAACCCAGCACTGGTAAACACACATACACTCTTGCATTCACACACATACACTACAGCCAATTTACCTTATTCAATTCACCAATTGCGCATGTCCTTAAGGGAAACCGGAGCACCCAAAGGGAACCCACATGAACACGGAGAGAACATGCAAACTCCACACAGAAATGCCAACTGACCCAGCCGGGGGCTTGAAACAGTGACCCTCTTGCTGTGAGGTGAAAGTGCTACTCACTGAGACACTGTGTCACCATTCCACTGGTTTACAGCAAAGCAAAATACTTCCAAACCACCAAAGATGATTATGAAATTATAAAAACAATGTTAAAGTAATTCTCCCTGAAGAACAAAACATTTGAATCCTTCGGTTAGAGTCAAGCTTGAAAAACTATTACTGAGCATTAAAAAATCATCTAAAGGTGGAGAAAATAGACACCATATTCTATTGCTGATTAAATTATCACTGTATGTGTAGTATTATTATGAACTAAATATATAAATAATGAATTAAATGTAGATGAAATAGATTACAGTCCTGGTATTACATTACAAAACATAAACACACACACAATTCAAGAAGTTGCTTCAATGTAACGGCAGGATTTACACTATGATTATCCAAAAAACAAATGAAAAAAAGACTCAAACTCACCATGCGTCAGCGGAGCAAGAAGAAAGAAAACCAGCTCAATTCTCCTGTGATATTGATGTGTGAAGAGGACTCTATTGGGATAAATAGAGCTTAGACCAGATGAGCTGCAGCATTGAAGATCATCTGAAGAGGTTTCACTGCCGATGATAGTGAAGTTCGGCCTGAAGAACATTGCAGTAGCCTAATATATAAATCACAAGTGCTTGGACAAGACCTTTAAGCAACCTGCTCTATTACAAAATGTCTGATCCTTCTAATTTTATTGAAAGAAAACAAAGCTTGCACAATCATGCAGGTTATGTGACCAATAAAGGACAGCTGACCATCAAGACTTTTGACTGAATTAATTGTAGATGACCCTAGCTGAATAGTGTAGTTCAGATGTCTTTGTCTTAGTAGCTTTAAAATGGAACATCATTTATAAAAATAAAAAGTTGATGAATATTTGATAGTGAATGTACAAAAAGGTAAAAACTGATCTGAACTTTCAGACGCAACTTAAAAATACATGCATAAGGCACTGAATAGGCAAAAATCAATATGTACACAAGTATAAATATTATTACATCATATGCAGCAGACAACAGCTTTGTAAAACCAGAATTGTACAATATTATAGCAAAACTAATGCAAGAAAATCAGTGTTAGATTCAGATAAAGAGGTTTTGATTGATTTGGTTTGCATTTAAAGTTCCTGTCTGTAGCCATGTTTAAAGAAAGACATATCTGTAAAAATGAAGAAGCTAAAGATGAAACAGCAAACGACCAAAACCTTCTTTATAAGCATTTTAGCTACAGCTAGGAACTGTTTCATAGCAATATGACGTTAATCCTCCAGCATACTGTTATATACAGACTGTCATTAAAGCAGCATACACGGCAACATGTCCATTTTTCTTCTTAAATACAGGATTCTCTATTCATATTTCTTTTCCTTTACAAGGCTAAACATTGTGGGAACACAATGATAAATTTCTTTAAATATTTACAAAGGCATAAAACATATTCTGAGAGGATCTAACTGTACATTCACCTTATAAATGACTGATGATTCTGGAAGAAGTCTGTGTTACGTATGATCAGCGCAGTTTGTGATACTCATTTGGAGCTGAGATGAGCTTCAAATATTTTTCTGTCTGTGTGTGTGTTGATGTTGTTAATAAATAATGTGTGTGTTGTGTTTCTACTCCTCAGTAAAAGTGATGACATCATACAGGATGCCCTGCTGTTGCAATTGTTCAGGTGTGGCTTCAGTGTAAACCGTCATCGCTGCATCTGCAACACACACACACACACATACTCAAATTTCATGTTTAATGTTATAAAATTGAGTCAAAAGTTCCACAAAAGAAGATTTCAGTACATCATTGTGTTAAATGTGCAAAGAAGAAAGCAAGTGAACACTTGGAAAAATAATCTACAATACAAAGAAACTTATATTGATTTAAATGACACAAATGTGTGTAAATGATGACAAGGTTATTTTGTGTGTGTGATCAATCTGTGTATTTTAAAGAATAAAGTTTATTGTACTTTATTGCATTTAAATATGAAAATAATTTTTAAATTTTATTTTTTATTTTTTTATGAAAATAATCTTCAAAATAAGAATCTAAAACCTCCAGTAGATGGTAGTAAAGTCTAATAAGTGAGCCGATTCACTCAAACAACTGAATCATTCAACAAAGTAAATAATCTGCTGTCTGGACTGTTTGAAACGTGGATTCATTCATTCATTCATTTTCTTGTCAGCTTAGTCCCTTTATTAATCCGGGGTCGCCACAGCGGAATGAACCGCCAACTTATCCAGCAAGTTTTTACGCAGCCGCAACCCATCTCTGGGAAACATTCTCAAATCTTCAATCATTCTAAATAAAACATATGTTTATAGATGTATTAATGCTGTCAAAATTAGTCGTTAATGCATGCGATTAATTTGAAATTAACACGTTAAAAAAATATAATGCAATTAACGCAGTTGCAGGTTTTTTATTTCCTGTAACATGAATAAGACCAAGGAAGCACTTTTTGAAGGCAAGTTTCAGTATAAAACAATTAATGTTGCATCACCAGGCTCTCCAGATTTTCCTCCAGAGTTTCATGCAATTTCGTGTGTTTCATTTTTAACTTTCAACTTCTGTTTTAATGGAAATCGATGAAAAAACGGAACGGAAAAAAAAAACTCCACATTTCGCATGTGTGTGTGTGTATATAATTTTTTTAATTGATTGACAGCATGCATATATATATATACTGTCAATCAATTAAAAAAATTATATACACACATACACACACACACATATATATATATATATATATATACAATATATATATATGTGTGTGTGTGTGTGTGTGTGTGTGTGTGTGTGTGTGTGTGTGTGTGTGTGTGTGTGTGTATCATTTTTTTTGTCCACAGAACATACTTTTCAAAGAAACTGGGATTAAAAGATCTGTTTAACTCTCTGTGAGCAGCTGCACATCAACAATGATTAGTTTCATAAACTTATATATCGTTAAAGGCCACCTATGGTGGAAAATCTACTTTTCAAGCTATTTGGACAAACATATGTGTGTATATAGTGTATAGACCATCATGTTGGGGTGATACAAACACACCCAGTCCTTTTTTTTTTTTTCAATTTAACAACATAAAAACGGTGGACCAATTACAGCTGTTTTCAAACCGACCGCAACTTTACGTAGGAGTGCGGTCCCCCCGCCCACCGAATTGATTGACAGCTGCGCGCCTTAACATGTTCCGGTAGTCACGTGTATATGTCAACAAGACCAGGCAGACATACGCAAAGCAACCAGGAATAAAAGGTCTGTTCTGTTCGCTAGGATCAGCAATCATCATCAAATGTGATTAAGAGTAAGTTTCACATGTTTAGAGTGTTTTAAAACAGTGCACGTGTGTAATTAATTACAGCGATTTACTTTAGCTTTACTTCATCAGCACAGCTGCTTGTCAGAACAATTCTAAAAGAAGACGCTTCAATCCCGGTTTGTGGAAGTTAAATCAGGTTTATTTTCTACACTAGCATAACAGATATCCACACAGTACTGGAGTATGCCTGTATTCTGTCATATTTGAGTGCAAAAACAGTGCTAAGCTGAGCGCGCTTTGTCTGTCTGCCTGCCTGTGTGTGTGTGTGTGTGTGTGTGTGTGTGTGTGTGTCAGCTACAGTGTGCGTGTGTATCTCTGTGTGTGTGTGAGCGTGAACTTTGTAACGATATTGTGTGTGACTCATCAATACAACTTCACAATACTAATTAGTAAAGGTTAGTTCTTACTGTAGTATTTCTCACAAACGCTACGTGAGACCTTCTTCCTTTAAGTCTGTCTGTTGTCTGACGCAGCTGAGGGAGGAGATTAAAGCACGCGGGAAGGCACGTAGAAACATTAGGCGGGAAAGACTCATCTTAAAGGCACAGTACGACAAAACCACCCCCTGCTGGAAATCAGTATAAAACAGCATCTTGTAAAAGGTGTAATGAAAAATCTGATTTGAGCTGAAACTTTTTATACACATTCTAGACACGCAAAAGACTTATATTAAATCTGAAAAAAGGGGTAACCTAGGTGCCCTTTAAAGCAGAGCATGTTTGAAATAAAGACTGAAAAATGGATGTAATTCTTCACCGCTAGAATCACCACAACCATATGGTGTCAGTAAACACGTGTGTGTGTGTGTGTGTGTGTGTGTGTGTGTGTGTGTGTGTGTGTGTGTGTGTGTGTGTGTTTCAGAAAGTCTTGAATAAACTCCAGCACAAATACATCAAATACACTTACATAGTATTTTGACTAATGAGCTGAACTTCTACTTTATCTGTGTCTATCTGTTGTCTCACTACATCTATTGCATTTCATCTATATATTATTAATATTATTATTATTCATTATTTATTGCACTTGACATATTGGCAAAGTAATTGTAAAATGTTTTGCTTAAATTGTTTTACACATTTTTCCTACATTTTTCTGTCTTTAAACAGTCAAATAAACTGACAAATATTCTTCCGAAAGCACCTCAGTTCAACACTGATCTTTCTTCTATCCTGGTCCCATTCCATTGGCGGTTTGTCTGTTAATCCTGCTCAGAGATCTAGAGATCATTCAGCTACTGGACTGACCGGAGCAGCCTGACCTGTACATCATGATCCTGAAACGTCCCTCACCATGACAAGACCTGTTGATTTCACGATGTCTAACTGAGGCTCCATCAATGAGGACGCAACACAGATCAATCATGATGTAGGAAACAGTGTCCCTCAATCTGTGCTGCTATTGTGGAGTGTTTCATCGAGACATAAAGCTGGAGAACCTGCAGATCAACACAGACACACTTCACGTCAAACAGCAGGAATCTGCATATGAAAGATTCTGTGATATGTATTTTGCAATAAACTTGCCGTTTGAGACTTGTTATGACTAGTTAAACTGGTGTCCTTAATAAACTAAACCACACTTAATAACAAATAACAACAAGAACCAAAAAGTCAGCAACTTCAAGCCTGAGGTCATGAGTCTCCGTTAAGAGAACGCCAAATATTTTAGACAGAAACAGTAAAGATGCGACTATATATCCAGATTCATCAGACAAAATCTCTTTTTCTTCAAGAACCAGTGAGTTCCACCTTCAGCCTGGAGTTTAGCTGTTTCCTAAATTCACAGACACACTGATGATCTGAGCCTAGATTGTTAAACGGTGAGAGGCTGTTTATCACAACAAAGAAAACTATACAAATCACACAAGTCACACAATAGCCAATTTCACATCTGTCACATCCACAACAGAGAGGAGTCAAATTCAAAATAAAGCTTTTTCCTCATAAATGCAAAAATATCAAATAAAATATATTATATATAACATTTATGTTCTATAGTGAGCCGACTCTTATTTTGTTTTACATTGTTTCTTTTGGGTTGTGCAGTTTAATTTACAGAATTTCTACAAAGTATGTTGTTTACTGTAAACCCGCAAACTTATTTTTGGTCACATCCATAATGCATGATTATTTTCCTCATTTAAAAAATTTAAAAATGGATACAGATTGATTTTTTTTCTGATCTCATAATTCTGTTGTTTTGGAAAATATAAATAGATGTTTCAGTATAATGTAAGATAATGCATAACAAATGCTTTTTCTGTGAATTTATGTTTCACGTTTTGACAGCAAATGTCACATCCACAATGCTGAAATTTCTCTATTATAACAGATGGATAATGTAGATAATACATCTTTCCTGATATTTGAGTCTTACAACATAGACAATTAAAACTGTACAGTGTAATACTGAGACAGCAGAAGATACAGTAAGTCTCCTCTCCTCCAATGTTCTTCACAGATTCTTCTCACCAGACTCAAGTAATGTAATGTAATGTAATGTATTTTTTATTTAGTGCCATGTCAGCAACCTATCTTCATGAAGGCTATCTTCATGGCAGGAATCTTTCAACAATAAATATACAATTTAAAAATCAACAAACAAAATAAAACATAAATTAAATAAGATTTTTTGTGTTAATACATGATAAACATTCTAAAATCGTTTCTGGTTTTACTTTGTCAAAAATGTCCTTAAAAGAGTTAATTTCATAAAAAAGTCCTTCTGAAATCAGTAAGAGCAGGACAGTCCAGTAAAATATGTTTTACAGTAAGTGGAGTTTTCACCAGACTCAAGAGTGAAAACTTAAGCAAGCTGATTGAGCTGAGGGAAATCATACTCTGTCAGCACTGACTGTACTTTAATATAAGCTAAATACCTCTAAACACAGCTTATAATCTGATCACAGTTCTTACTGTAACTAAATCTTGTTATTCTAAAGGTTTTCTATAGGAAAGCTGAATACAGTAAATGCTTTATTTGCCTTTTTTCTAGAAATAACTTAGACATGAATCTCTTCACTGTGATTCTGCTTTGTCTGTGATGAATTATTCAATCACTAACAAAACCACATCAAATATGTAAAGAATGTTTATTTGTGTTCTGTACATTGATGAAATGTTAAAAATACATGATATTTATAAGAAATAGATCATTCTGTACAGGTTTAACTGTCTTCATGTACCAATCTCTGCTTTGCTATATACAAATATACAATGTGCTGGTCATTAATAGTAGACCTGTTGTTTAACTGGTCTAAATCCTCCACATCTGTCTGCTTTAGACTGGCTGATGTGTGTCGTCGATGCTCTGGTTTTAGCTGGCGCTGCATTTTCAGCTCCTCCAGCAGAGTCTCACAGACGCAGCAGAGGAAGCTCAGGATCAGGAAGCTGTTCTCTGCAGTTCCTCTGCCACTCCTGCTCACCCTCTACAAATCATTGAAAGCATTTATCTACACTGACTCTAACAATGCAAAGCCACGACTGCTGGCATTCAGATAAGTGTAATGCCACTGGCCACCTGTTCACTGCAACCAGGGGTGGCGCTCAATGTCATCTAAACTGGGCCGATCTGCTGGCGCTGCACTGAGACACCAGCGAATCAGCTGACGGCACTCTGTTCCACACAACACAGCCTTCAGAACCACAAAAGCACACAAACTTCTGCTCTCTCAACACATCATCTTCATCTCTTACCTGTCGACAGCTTTCTCGGGAAGTGCAGTCTGCTTTTGGACGTGACCCTCCGTGCGCCTCTGAAGGGGAAACAGTCGCACAGGATGTTGTAGAGAGTCACGCCGATAGACCAGACTGTCAGTGGAGAGGCATGATAGCGATGATGCCGAAACCACTCAGGAGGAGCAAAAGCTGGAGTGCCTGAGAGACACAAGAAGAGCACAAACACACACTCTAAAGGCTCCAGTACACACAAACTCCTTTTGGAGAATCACAGCAAGTTCACAAACATCCTCAGAGCGTTTCCTTCAGTCACACAAACCAACCTGCAAAGTATCTGTAGGCCGAGTCCTTCATTAGATCTCCACAGCCGAAGTCCAGCAGCTTGATGTCGTGTGAGTCTGTGGAGATCAGCAGGTTCTCTGGCTTGACGTCTCGGTGCAGGACGCGGCGGCTCTCGCAGTGTTTCAGCGCCGCGATCAGCTGCACCAGCACTTTCTTGGCCAGAGGCTCGTCCAGACAGCCGTTCTCCTCACAGAAACTCTGGAGATCTTGGCAAGGAGCCGGACGCTCCAGGATCAGGACGTAGCGTCTGCGATGGTCAAACCAGTCCAGCAGCTGCAGGACACTGGGGCAGACAGGAGCTGAAGAGACGCGGGTCATCAACGCCACCTCCAGCGGCAGACGACCCTGACCGTCCTGCAGGACAAATGCTTTGTTACATCCAGGACTGAATCAAACACAACAAATTCACGCTCAACTTACAACTTTCAGTCTGGTGTCCGTCGGCTCTTTAGACACGTACTTGATGGCCACCTGTAGACAGATAAAGCACAGTAAATCAGCCCTGCCTGATCGGGACACGGGACATTTACTGACATCAACATTTCTAAAGCCTGTCTGAATGAAGGAGTGAAGGAAAAGTCTTACTGGCAGTCCATCAGACCTGCGGATCCCAGCAAACACAGAGCCGAATCCGCCTCGTCCCAGCAACGGGCCCTTGGCATATTGGTCTGCAACACAGAAGAGCAGCAGAAATGTGTTGAAGAGAAAACATGAGTTGAGTCTCTTTAATGACCAATCATTTCACAACTGAGTCTCCACTATAAGCCTGTGCTGACCTCTGCGAGAGCGTTTGGCAGGTCTCCTAGACGAGGTGGACGCCGTTTGCTGCTTCCTCTTCCTCTTCCTCTGATCTGTGGACACTGAATCGGCCAAAAGAGAGGACAGAGGAGCCAAATAACCAGGAAGCCCACCAGAAGCGTCCCGTGTCTCTGTGTCCTGAACTGCTGTCTGGGTGAAAGCTGCACTCCTGGATCTGGAGCGGCCTGAGGATGAAATATCACCGACAGCAAACACCGATTATTGATTATTAATAAAACATCACTCACTGTCAGTGGTCACACTGCATTATTACAATCATTACAACTGATTCAAGGAATAAAATACTTTCTTAATAAGTCTGTTTGTTTCTTTATTAAATAAAACAACATTTATTAGTTAGAGTGGGATATTTTAAGATTATATGGCTTGATTTACACAATCTTCTTCATATTCATTTATTAAAACACAGTAAAACACAACATAAACATGGCAAAAATAAACAAATGTCAAATGAAGAACACTCACTTTCTCTTTCAGCCATTTGCGCCATGAAGACCGTCCTGCAAAACTCCACCACAAGAGAAAATAAAACAAGAGAAAATATAATGACAAATCAATAAAAGACAACTGAAATGTCAAACAAACAAGTAGAAAAAAAGGCACAAACTAAAACAGAAATGACAAAAGAGCAATAAAATAAGCGTCTTAACAAGTAATCTGAACGATTAAAATAATTATATATTCTTTTCAAAGAAAAAATCCTCCGATGTCGTCCTGGAAAGAAAGTCTCCTCTCAGAAATCCTCAGGGCTTCTTGAAGAATCAGTTTCAGCACAAAAGTCTCTGCAAGTCTCTGAATTCGCCTCGTCTCTCAACCAAGATTTTCAGCGCTTTCAGTGTTTATATATCGAGTCATATAATAACACGCGTTACTATAGCAACTCAAATTTGAAAAAACACTCATGTGGATGACGTAGCGCCGAAACACAAGGAATCAATAAACATTTTTTTCTATTTTTCATGTAATTATTGCGATTAGTAGTTAATCACCCAAAAGAAGATTTAACTCTCAGGAAATAATTTGTTAAAAAAGAAGGTGTTAATTTTAGACATTATATAGTAGATAGCTAGACGCCTCGTGGTCCTCTTCGGTCCGTTGCTCCGATACGTCAAACGCGGCCGCCATCTTAATCCGGTCATCAGTGCGCTATAAACAGACGCAACTGAACAGAGAAGCTGCAGTTTTATCGGATATAAAATACAATAATGCTTATATTTATTAACTGATTATAATTTTATGGTGTGGAAAAACTCCAGTTGTCTATAAGTTAGCAAGCTTAAACTTGTAATGTATATTTTATACTATAAAGAGAGATGTTATCAATAAATGTGTCTTCTTTATCAAAAGTAGTGCCGGAGTCATCTTTTTTTCTTACAGTTTTATAACAGTTAACAAAAACAGTTTATAAAAAGCAATGAATCACACATTATTATAAAAGTAGAAATTCAATAATGTAGCATAAAACAATACATTATTATCAATAATCATAATTAAGTATGAATAATACTAATACATAATTGCATACAACACTGGCTAAAGTGAATGTATAAAAAGGACATTTATTCATTATATATTGTATGTACACACACACACACACACACACACACACACACATTATTATTATCATATTTAATCATCCCCACTTATCTGTAATGTCTGTTTCATTCTGAAGAGGCATAAGAAATTAACAATAATAATAATAATTTAATATGATTATCGCAAGTAATCCAATACTGAAATTATATATTTTTAGCAAAATATTATATTAATAATAATAACAACAACAACAACAAAAATAATAATAATCATTATTATCATAGGTAAATAAATAAATATATAAATGTAAATAAATAAAAAGCTGGCTCGTTAACTTCGTAAAATTCGGTTTCAGATATTCTTCTAAATCGCTTCAGTAAATGTACAAATGAGTATAAATGAGCGACGTTTTTGATTATCAAAGTAATTACGTCTTTTTCGCGTCAATTAGTTGACATTGTTGAGCCATATCTGGGATAGATTGAGCATGCATTGAGCAATTAGGTCCCACTTTTTAATAAATATTAATTAGGAATAAATAATATTCCTCAAAAGGAAAATCATTGTGTTTGGCTGGTTAAAGGATAATTCTAATAAATGTATAAAATGTCTGTTGATTATTTTATTCATTATTTAATTATTTAATTAATTATTTAATTTCCACATGCGTGATTTTTCAAATTTGAGTTGCTATAGTAACGCGTGTTATTATATGACTCGATATATAAACACTGAAAGCGCTGAAAATCTTGGTTGAGAGACGAGGCGAATTCAGAGACTTGCAGAGACTTTTGTGCTGAAACTGATTCTTCAAGAAGCCCTGAGGATTCCTCAGAGGAGACTTTCTTTCCAGGACGACATCGGAGGATATTTTCTTTGAAAAGAATATATAATTATTTTAATCGTTCAGATTACTTGTTAAGACGCTTATTTTATTGCTCTTTTTTGTCATTTCTGTTTTAGTTTGTGCCTTTTTTCTACTTGTTTGTTTAACATTTAAGTTGTCTTTTATTGATTTGTCATTATATTTTCTCTTGTTTGTATTTTCTCTTGTGGTGGAGTTTTGCAGGACGGTCTTCATGGCGCAAATGGCTGAAAGAGGAAGTGAGTGTTCTTCATTTGACATTTGTTTATTATTGCTATGTTTATGTTGTGTTTTACTGTGTTTTAATAAATGAATATGAAGAAGATTGTGTAAATCAAGCCATATAATCTTAAAATATCCCCCTCTAACTAATAAATGATGTTTTATTTAATGAAGAAACAAACAGACTTATTGAGAAAGTATTTTATTCCTTGAATCAGTTTTAATGACTGTAATAATGCAGTGTGACCACTGACAGTGAGTGATGTTTTATTAATAATCAATAATCAGTGTTTGCTCTCTGTGATATTTCATCCTCAGGCCGCTCCAGATCCAGGAGTGCAGCTTTCACCCAGACAGCAGTTCAGGACACAGAGACACGGGACGCTTCTGGTGGGCTTCCTGGTTATTTGGCTCCTCTGTCCTCCCTGTTGGCCGATTCAGTGTCCACAGATCAGAGGAAGAGGAAGCAGCAAACGGCGTCCACCTCGTCTAGGAGACCTGCCAAACGCTCTCGCAGAGGTCAGCACAGGCTTATAGTGGAGACTCAGTTGTGAAATGATTGGTCATTAAAGAGACTCAACTCATGTTTTCTCTTCAACACATTTCTGCTGCTCTTCTGTGTTGCAGACCAATATGCCAAGGGCCCGTTGCTGGGACGAGGCGGATTCGGCTCTGTGTTTGCTGGGATCCGCAGGTCTGATGGACTGCCAGTAAGACTTTTCCTTCACTCCTTCATTCAGACAGGCTTTAGAAATGTTGATGTCAGTAAATGTCCCGTGTCCCGATCAGGCAGGGCTGATTTACTGTGCTTTATCTGTCTACAGGTGGCCATCAAGTACGTGTCTAAAGAGCCGACGGACACCAGACTGAAAGTTGTAAGTTGAGCGTGAATCTGTTGTGTTTGATTCAGTCCTGGATGTAACGAAGCATTTGTCCTGCAGGACGGTCAGGGTCGTCTGCCACTGGAGGTGGCGTTGATGACCCGCGTCTCTTCAGCTCCTGTCTGCCCCAGTGTCCTGCAGCTGCTGGACTGGTTTGACCATCGCAGACGCTACGTCCTGATCCTGGAGCGTCCGGCTCCTTGCCAAGATCTCCAGAGTTTCTGTGAGGAGAACGGCTGTCTGGACGAGCCTCTGGCCAAGAAAGTGCTGGTGCAGCTGATCGCGGCGCTGAAACACTGCGAGAGCCGCCGCGTCCTGCACCGAGACGTCAAGCCAGAGAACCTGCTGATCTCCACAGACTCACACGACATCAAGCTGCTGGACTTCGGCTGTGGAGATCTGATGAAGGACTCGGCCTACAGATACTTTGCAGGTTGGTTTGTGTGACTGAAGGAAACGCTCTGAGGATGTTTGTGAACTTGCTGTGATTCTCCAAAAGGAGTTTGTGTGTACTGGAGCCTTTAGAGTGTGTGTTTGTGCTCTTCTTGTGTCTCTCAGGCACTCCAGCTTTTGCTCCTCCTGAGTGGTTTCGGCATCATCGCTATCATGCCTCTCCACTGACAGTCTGGTCCATCGGCGTGACTCTCTACAACATCCTGTGCGACTGTTTCCCATTCAGAGGCGCACAGAGGGTCACGTCCAAAAGCAGACTGCACTTCCCGAGGAAGCTGTCGACAGGTAAGAGATGAAGATGATGTGGTGAGCGAGCAGAAGTTTGTGCTTTTGTGGTTCTGAAGGCTGTGTTGTGTGGAACAGAGTGCCGTCAGCTGATTCGCTGGTGTCTCAGTGCAGCGCCAGCAGATCGGCCCAGTTTAGATGACATTGAGCGCCACCCCTGGTTGCAGTGACCAGGTGGCCAGTGGCATTACACTTATTTGAATGCCAGCAGTCGTGGCTTTGCATTGTTAGAGTCAGTGTAGATAAATGCTTTCAATGATTTGTAGAAGGTGAGCAGATGTAGCAGAGGAACTGCAGAGAACAGCTTCCTGATCCTGAGCTTCCTCTGCTGCGTCTGTGAGACTCTGTGTGGATGCTGGAGGAGCTGAAAATGCAGCGCCAGCTGAAACCAGAGCATCGACGACACACATCAGCCAGTCTAAAGAAGACAGATGTGGAGGATTTAGACCAGTTAGACAACAGGTCTACTATTAATGACCAGCACATTGTATATTTGCATATAGCAAAGCAGAGATTGGTACATGAAGACAGTTAAACCTGTACAAAATGATCTATTTCTTATAAATATCATGTATTTCTAACATGTCATCAATGTACAGAACACAAATAAACATTCTTTACATATTTGATGTGGCTTTGTTAGTGATTGAATAATTCATCATAGACAGAGCAGGATCACAGTGAAGAGATTCATGTCTAAGTTATTTCTACAAAAAAAGGCAAATAAAGCACTTAATCAGTTTCCAGTAGAAAACAATCGTAAAGAAAATATTTAACATTTAGTTACACTAAGAACTGTGATCAGTGTATAAGCTGTTTAGAGGTATTTAGCTTATATTAAAGTACAGTCAGTGCTGACAGAGTATGATTTTCCTCAGCTCAATTAGCTTGCTTGGGTTTTCAGACTTGAATCTGGTGGAAATATTCTGTGCAGAACATTGGAGGAGATGAGAGAGTCAGATTATTAACTTTACTTCTGCTTTCTCAGTATTACACTGTACAGTATTATTTTCTATATGGTAGGACTCAAAAATCAGGAAAGATGTAATATCTACATTTATCTTTTATAAAAGTCCAATTCTAGCATTATGGATGAGACATTTGCTGTCAAAACTTAAAACTTAAATACACAGAAAAAATTTTAACATTACATTGAAACATTTGTTTATATTTACCAAAACAACTTAACACAAAGTTCTGGAAACAGAAAAATAATAATCTGTTAACATTTTTTACATTTTAAATGAGGAAAATAAACATGTTTTATGGATGTGACCAAAAAATTTTAGCGAGTTTACAGTATACAACATACAGTTGAGGTCAGAACTATTAGCCCCCCTTTGAATTTTTTTTCTTTTTTAAATATTTTTCAAATGATGTTTAACAGTGCAAGAAAATTTTCACAGTATGTCTGATAATATTTTTCTTCTGGAGAAAGTATTATTTGTTTTATTTAGGCTACAATAAAAGCAGTTTTTAATTTTTTATGAACCATTTTAAGGACAGAGTTATTAGCCCCTTTAGGCTATATTTCTATTCGATAGTCTACTGAACAAACCATCGTTCTACAATAACTTGCCTAATTACCCTAACCTGGCTAGTTAACCTAATTAACCTAGTTAAGTCTTTAAATGTCACTTTAAGCTGTATAGAAGTGTCTTGAAAAATATCTAGTCAAAAATAATTTACTGCCATCATGGCAAAGATAAAATAAATAAGTTATTAGAAATGACTTATGTAGTGGCAATTTTCTTTAAAGAGGCGCTCTCTGTGGTCAAGAAACAAAGTCTTACTCGGAATGTCTTTTTAAAGTTTTATTCTTTGCAAAGAAGGTCACAGTCATACAGCAACAACAGTTTCTGCAGAGTGAGACACTGAAGTCAAGTGTGTTCACCCTTTTATCTGGTTTTTACTACTTACAAGGTCAAACCCTAATACTGCCCATTCTGACGACAGTTTCTACAGAATGAGACACTTAAGCAAAGTATGTTCACTGTTCTATCTAGTTTGTACTGCTTGCAAGGTCAAATCCTAATAAGGCCCATTCTGTACGTGCATCAGGTGCTCCGCTGTTTCTGCTGTAAGTTTCCACTACACATGTTTATCTAAAATGAATTTCCATTACAATTCCTCTCTTTTTATCATTCATTGATAACTCATTATTAAATTCATTTTTCAATTGATTTCTAAAATCACAATGGTTAATCATTTAACAGGTTTCTGCTCACATCAAATACACTAGAGATGTTTAAACACTCTTCTTAATATAGTTTCCCCATTAAGAGTTACCTTTCAAAACATCCCTCTTCCCTGGGAGCCGGGCTAAACGAATAATCACTGTTATTGCGCTCCTGACCGAAATCAGACCCTCAGTCACCCCTCAGAGGTTTAAATCACAGAAATTGCCTGTTATTTTCACATTATTGATTTGTTCACACAACACAACACTCTACATCATCAATTCATCAATAACACTCACAAACATAGAAACACATTGTTGTTTCTGTACTCTTAAACATCACATTTACACTCTTCTCTCGATTTTCAAGCAAATGATCACTCTTTTAAGACTTGTTACAGAACATACCAACTCATGCGTTTTGCTGTTTTTGTTTGGAAAGACCCAAAATACATATACGTAAGCAAGCAGATAGTTATCTCAAACTTCAAAAAGTTAAGTTCATAAATATTTTCTCAATTAAGTAACAGCCTTCACCTAAATTTTGTTCTCAATTTGTTTACAGTTTTTCTTTATCCATATCCATGTAGCTGCTGCTATCGTCAAAGTCACAATAAAAATCATGACCCATGTCAACATTCATACCCTCTTTGTTAACCGCCATCTTTACCATCTGATGGGATGTTGTAGATGTAATCAGTCTGCCCACTGACCATGATACAAATCTGAATATACATGGCAGACAACGTAATATCACTAGACCCACCCCAATACAGGTAACATCACAGTAAAGGCCCAGTAGATCCAGTTTCCCACTTAAATGACAGCCAATCTAGCCATCAGTTGTTAGCGTTCTTAGGCTCTTTTACGGCCATTCTCATGTCGGCTACAATGTCAGAAATGGTTTCCTGGAATCAGGTTAATGAAAACAACAGAACACTCAGTGATAATAATAGCAATGTTACTACCCTCGAGATGAAACAAAGGCTCAAGTCGTTCTTGATTTTAACTGACATTTATTTGGACAGGAGTCTGTAGTATGTCTTGTACATTCTAGCCTTGCACTCCTTTATGTCCCAATATTGCCGTCAGAACTACGAAAAGAAATACATAAACTTCAATTAACCCTTTAAAGGTGATGTTGCACGTAATGAACAACATACATACAACCAAAAGATAAAGTGCACATTCAACATGTAAAGAAATACACTTAATTAGTTACAGGAGAAATATTCTCAACACCAATAACCTTGGTTAACATTTATGGACCAAATTTTGATAATCCGTGCTTCTTTCAAAATGTGTTTTCTCACATCACTGATATCTCATCCACAAATTTAATTATAGGGGGAGATTTCAATTGTGTTTTAGATCCATATTTAGACAGATCGTCAACTCAGCGTGCTCCCCCATCCAAATCTAGAGAACTGCTCAAAACATATATTAAAAATTATAATATCAATGATGTGTCCAGGTTAGCAAACCCAACTGGAAGAGATTACTCCTTCCACTCACAAGTTCATAATGTTTACACCCGAATAGACTATTTTTTGGTAGATTTAAAACTAATTCCGTTCACTTTTAAGGCCACCTATCATAATATTCTGATCTCAGAACATAGCCCAATTACAATTGCCCTGAAATTGTCAGAAATTGGTAATACTCAACCATTGTGGCGGGCAGACACCTATCTACTAAAGGATGAAAAATTTTGTGAGTATTTACAAACACAACTTAAAATATTTTTTGAAACTAATAACCAACCAAACATCTCTCCTTCACTTCTGTGGGACACTTTTAAAGCATATCTAAGAGGCTGTTTTATATCATTTAAAGGGGCAAAGAATAAGAAAAACAAAGCTACCTTAATAGATTTGGAAAAACAAATTAAACAACCTGATGAGCAGAATGCTATTACGCCTTCTTTAGATCTATATAAAGAAATATTAAATCTGAGATATCACTATAACAAATTAATATCTGAAAAGCTTTCAAATTCTATAATGTTTATGAGACAAAAATTTTTTGAGTTTGGTGATAAGCCACATAAATTGTTATCTAGACAGCTACGAAAGCTTGAAAATGACCGTGCAATACATCGAATTAAATCAAAATCTGGGACTTACGCATTATCCCCCAAAGACATTAATAATCGTTTTAAACAATATTATGAATCTCTATATTCAAGTGATTACAAGGATCCCAAGGCTGTAGAAACATTCTTAAACAGCTGTAATTTACCAACGCTAGATCAAAAGGATAGAGAATTTCTAGAAGCAGATTTTACTTTAGATGAAATAAAGAATACAATAAAGTCACTTAAAGGAGGTAAAGCCCCCGGCCCTGATGGAATCCCTTGTGAGGTATATAAATTATTAAACAATTTGTTAACGCCTTATATGCTTGATATGTTTTCCTCAGCTCTGGAGGACGGACAACTACCCCAGTCATTTAATGAAGCAGTAATTACAGTTATACCTAAAAAAGGAAAAGATCCTGAAGAGGTTGAGGGGTATAGGCCAATATCCCTCATTAATGTGGATCAAAAAATATTAGCCAAAACAATAGCCATCAGAATGAACACATTGGTAGGAAAACTAGTGAAACCTGACCAGACTGGCTTTGTCCCAGGCCGTAACTCTTTTAACAATCTACGTCGATTGTTTAATATACTATACTCCTCCCAAACAGACCGGTCTGACCTAGTGATCTTGTCCTTAGATGCCGAAAAGGCCTTTGACCGGGTAGAATGGCCTTACCTATTTGCCCTTTTACATAAATTTCAACTGGGGGAAAGATTCATTTCTTGGCTAAAAACTTT